GAGCTACAGATCACCTTGGGTAACCCATCTACTCTTTGCTGATGATAGTCTGATTTTCATTAGTGCAAGCAACCCAAGTGCTCTCCATCTCAATAACATTCTGTCAATTTATGGTGAGGCCTCAGGTCAGTGTGTAAATCGTGAAAAAAGTTCTATCTATTTCAGTACTAACACACCTGACTCTTTGAGGCAACTTCTGAAGTCAACTTTGAATATCCAAGTTGAAGCTTTCAGCACAAAGTATCTTGGCCTCCCAACTGCTGTGGGGCGCATTACAAGTGGCACTTTTGAACACATCAGTGAGAGAGCCCGTGGAAAAAATTCAAGGATGGTCAGAAAAATTACTAGCTTGTGTCGGCCGCGAGGTTTTGTTGAAATCGGTCGTTCAGCCTATCCCGACCTATCCAATGAGCACTTTCTTACTAACAAAGAAAGTTTGCAAGAGCTCAACTTCTCCTATGGCAAAATATTTTTGGAGCAGTTCTCTGGATAAAAATTCTATGCATTGGGTGTCCTGGAAAGAGCCGGCAACACCTAAGTGCAAAGGAGGGATGGGGTTTCGTGACCTGCATCAGTTTAATCTTGCTATGTTGGGCAAACAGGGTTGGCGATTAATGACAAACCCTACATCGTTGTGTGCTAGAGTGCTCAAGGGTCGCTACTTTCCCGACAGCGATTTTATGCATGCATCTGCTCCAAAGTCGGCATCGGCCACTTGGAAGGCTATCATGGCGGGAAGGGAGGCTCTAGGGGCCGGGCTGATCGCCCGAGTGGGAGATGGCAGCACGTTATCAATGTGGAATGGCAAATGAATTGCTGGAACTATTTCAATGAAACCAATCTTCAAACCACCAAACACCACCATCCAAACGGTGGATGAGCTCATTGATACGACCAACTGGTCTTGGCGGCAAGATATGGTCAGGGAAACCTTCATCACCCTAGATGCCGAAGCCATTCTGAACATTCCTATCAGGCAAGGGGGAGGTGAGGATTCTTTTGCTTGGGCATTCGAGAAATCAGGCAACTACACTGTGAAGACAGCGTACCGTGCTCTAATGACTCAGAAAGAGCAGTTGGCTCTAGAGGAAGGCACGGCTACCGGAACCTTAGTAGACGATCATCAGTTGTGGAAGGCCTTGTCGAAATTGAATGTCATGCCGAAAGTGAGGGTTTTCTAGTGGAGAGTTCTTCGTGGGATTCTTCCGGATGAAGCTACCCTCAACTATCGTCATATTGCACCAATTAATCGGTGCAAAGTCTGTTTAGCGATGAGCGAGGATCTGGAGCATGCTCTTATTCATTGTTCCCATGCGCAACGCTTCTGGGACGAGGCATGTGCTTGGTTTGGCATTCGTCTACCCCGACTCCATCCGGACTCATGGGCTCGCGACATCACATGTGATCCCCGCTTCTCTGATGATGACCGAGCCAAGATCACCACTGTCATGTGGTCGATATGGCACTCTCGGAACCAAATCAAACATCGCGAAGAGGGGAGGGATCCAACATCAACGATCCGAGCAATCAAGGAGGCCATTTCCCTCCTCCAGCTACCGCGTAAGGCAGCTGCTATGTTTCCTGGTTATGGCTGGAGACCACCTGATGATGCTACTGTAAAAATCATGACGGATGGTGCACTGAACTTTGCCGAGGGGCGGGGCGGTGCAGGTGGTGTCGCACGTTCCTCTTCGGCTTTGATAGGTTCTTGGTGCAAGCCATATATGGGGATTTCAGACCCCCTGATCATGGAAGCTTCCTCTCTGCGAGACGGAGTTTTATTCGCCACTCTTCGAGGACTCTCGCATGTGATAATGGAAGTTGACTGCGTGGAGTTAGTGACACTCTGGAACACTCGCCATAATTCCCGTTCAATTGTGGCTCCGATTCTGCTAGAAATAGGAGAGCTTAGTAATCACTTTATTTCCTTTGATATTCAGCATATTAATAGGTAAGCAAACTTACCGGCGCATCTCTGTGCTAAGCATGCTTGCACTTTGAACGTGATCGAATGTTGGATGGATGCAACTCCTAGCTTTCTAGTGACCAGCCTTATGGCTGACTGTCCTAGGAATGCTCTCATATGAATAAAAGCTCTCTGAATTGCCCGCAAAAAAAAGATCGAGCTTCAACCTTTTTAGGAAAACATAGAATTCCTTCCATCCACAAAAGGATGTTGCGCTGGCAATTTTGCAAGAAACTCCTCATATTTTTCCTGACATAACTCACGGTCGTCCTCTCCGACGCAGGCTATGCCACAAGGAGCAGCGCTGCTTGTCCATAACCAGAGCAACGAGAGCGTATCGGAGTAATGGCGAGCTAGAGTTGGGCCTCGATGTGGAGGTCGGCTTCTCCAATCATGTACTTCTTCGCCAAGTACGAGCTCGGCGAGGAGGTCGGCCGTGGCCACTTCAGCTACACCTGCGCTGCCAAGGCTAAGAAGGGCGAGCACAAGGCCCAGGACGCCTCTGTCAAGGTCCGACACCTCCTTTGAGTGAAACTTGTTCACACAAAACATGCAATTTAAGGCATAGTCCATTGTGAAGTTATGAATGGATATATCTTAAAGCTCTAGGCATAAGTTCAACTTAATATAGTCTTTGCTGAAACACTCGTATATTAAACAAGTAGTGAGAAAAGACAATCTCTAAATGAGTTTTTAAGATCTGGTGGAGGATTGTCAGAAATAAATGGGCTAGGCCCATTAACAACTTTTGAAATCTCAAATTAGACCATGTGTAAAATGGCAAGTGGTGGCTCTAAAGTTTAGCACATATAGTGGGTTCTCTCCACCACACTAATTGATGTGTTGAGGAGAGAAAGCGAAAACCACACACGCTCGCCTTGCCGGCTGGGCTCGAGCTGGGCTAGGGCAGCGCGGGTGTGTGACATGCACGTGAATGGTCCGCCAAAATCCGGTCTGAAGCCTTGCAGTGTCGCGACTTCCTTTTTTCATTTTGTTTTTTGATGTCTTGATAGATAAGTTGATTGGTTCCTTGTCCGGTAAGTTTGACTTGGAAATCAAGTCGGTTTGAGATCGTGATCACATCACGATACCGCCTCCGGTCTTCCTATATATAGTACTTACCGGCCTCAGCCAAGACATCAAAATCAACTAGGGCTTTGTTCTCTCTCTACTTGCGCCGCCACCCCCGAACGCCGGTGTCCACCTGCGAACGGGAGAGTAGGTCTATGAAATCTCTCGCCCTTGTGATCATGCACCAGTAGATGGCGAATAAGATTTTTGGGAAGCGCTCCGCATGGCTGCTCAAGTTCGCCAACACGGGTTGTCTTCCACCAAGATCAGGATGTGCGCCATCATCACCAATGTCTGCACCGACCAGTCGTCAACAACATCACCGCCCCTTCAACAACCACGGCTACTTCATCTATGAACGATCAGTACGTGCACCATGAACTGATCTTGTCTCTAATTATAATAGGTGTTGCATGTACGATGCTGCTATTTCAATCATCTAGTATGTAGAGCTTTGCAAAGGGATTGGAGGGATTGGAGCAGTTGGAGAGATCAGGGTGAGACATGGCGACGGGGTGCGGTGGTGGCGGTGGCGCACAGAAGCTAGCGGCTAGGGTTTTAGAGCGTGCGGCGCGGGGAAGCGAAGGCGGTGCAGTCGAGGGAGGAGCAGCGCGAGGGAGTGGTGGGGAGGAGGCAAAGGAATTGGAGGGATTGGAGCCTTGGAGAGATCAGAGTGAGACATGGCGATGGGGTGCGGTGGTGGCAGCGGCGCAAAGAAGCTAGCGGCTAGGGTTAGGGTGTGCGACGCAGGGGAAGCTAGCGGCTAGGGTTTTAGGGCGCGCGGCACGCGGGGGGAAGCGAAGGGCGGTGCGGTCGAGGGAAGAGCAGCACGAGGGAGTGGTGGGGAGGCTGCAGCGGCGGCAGGGAAGCCAGCGACGGGGACGCAACGAGAAGAGTAGCGGCGACGACAGCTAGGAAGCAACGGCGGCGCAACGCGGCTAGGGTTAGAGAGATGATCGAAGCGAGGCTGATACCATATAAAAGATCGGGTGCATATGCACGTATATATAAGTACATAGGGTAGCCACGTCCTCAACTATACAAGGAAGGAGTAGCGCTTGTTGTACAAGAAATGCACATGCATAATATACATCTCAACACTACTGTTCTATTCATGAATTATTTAATGAAATTAATCATGAATTTGCGCAAGATTCCAATACAGTTATTTTATCCTTAGATGAAGGAGATAAGATATAGTCCTTTTCATTGAAATTGAAAGGAGACTACTGGTCGGCCCGTCAAATTCTTAAGCTACTCCCTCCGTTTCGATTTTTCGAATTACTTGTCACAGGTATAAATATATCTAGATGTATTTTAGTTCTAGATACATCTATTTCTATGATGAATAATTTGAAACGGAGGGAGTACATCTTAAGCGAAGTCTATACACATTATCTCTTTTTTCATATTAATTATTATTCTGAGAGTAAATAAGCTAGTCATGTCCTCGTCATCGATCTGTTGCTTAGCTATCAGTCAGATCGTCGTTCTGTACATCGATTGCAAGTCAAGTGTGACTTTGAGACGTATGTTGCACCGCCTGCGTTTTTTTTCTACTCTCATACATGTATCAATCTTATCCTCCACTATTTCAGCAGTACCATCTCGTTATCCATCACGTGGAATTCAGCACTAATAGTCAAATACTACAGCCTAACTAAAGCTAGAGGTTGCTTGTTTGACCTGACCGCATCTGTGAAGATATCGTGTGGCGACGGTGTACCAATCTCGCTGCATATCTTCATCCATAAATACAGCACCCGAGCGAGGCCTCCAAGCGAAATCAAGTAGTACAACACAAAGCTCTCTATCAGGAATTCGATCAGGATCATCGTCGTCCATCAGTCGAGACGTACGTGGTTCAGTTCAACAGGTAAGTACTCACCATGCATGTCTCAAATTTTGTGAATCTTTAGCTGGCTATTTTGATCTCTACAATCTATAGGTCCTCAGTACGAGAATGAGCTCCTCGGACGACACCTGCGGCAAGAAGGCGTCGTGGCCGGAGCTGGTTGGGAAGTCCATCGAGGAGGCCAAGAAGATCATCATGAAGGACAGGCCGGATGTGAAGATCATCGAGGTCTTCCCGGTCGGCACCGCCGTGACCGGGGACTTCAGGCCCGACCGTGTCCGCATCTTCGTCGACACCGTTGCGGAGATCCCCCGCATTGGCTAGCTTTTGTTGATGCCCCACCGTTTTATGTGTGTGTGTCTGTATGTGTTATGTTCCTGAATAAACCATAGCTAGTGAGTAGTGACCATGTATGCATACTACTCCTAGCTATGTCGGTCGCTCTGTAAGAATTAAAATAATCATTAAACTTTTTTATGGGAAATAATTAAAGTTGATCGCTGGCTTGCAACTTTGCTATCTTGATCTTTATTTCATTTCTCTGCTGAAACCATTTCAATAAGAAGAATCTCAAATGATCGAACATGTTCATCAATTACCAAGACAAGAAAAATATACTAATTGACAAAAAGTATACTAATTACCAAGACTAATTGACTACAAAAACATTCTCAAATGATCGAACATGTTCGTTTTATGTGTGCGCGCTCGTGTGTGTGTGTGTGTGTGTGTGTGTGTATTATATTCCTGAATAAACTAATAATTAAAGTTGATCACAGGCTTGCAGCTTTGATATCTTGATCTCTATTTCATTTCTCTGTTGAAACAATTTCGATATGAAAATACTCAAATGATGGAACAAGTTCGTCAATTACCAGGACCAAAAAATACTAATACTGAATCTAAAAAAACCAAATACTAATACTAGTCAATAAGACTCCTACAAAAACAAAAACAAACCTAGTCAATGAGAGATTGCAAGAACTCCCACACACCATTAAAAATAGGGCATCAAATAAATAGGCGGGGTAGCGCACATACGCTGATTACCGGGTCACCAAAGGCACGGCCAATACTATTAGATTTTAGTTTTTCAGAACATTTTGTTAAAAAAAAATTCTTTCACAAATGTTATTGAGGCATGTTTATGTATTTAATAAAACTTTCAAATGTACTTCAATTTTTTATGTATTTTCAAAATGTCTCTGTAATTTAAAGTTATTCCTGTATTTAATAAATGTTCATATAATTTAAGACATGTTCACGTATTTTAAAAATATTCATCTATTTTAAAAAGTGCTGACTTTTTTGAAAACTATGCTGTAATTTTAAACATATTCGTGCCATTTGAAAAAAATCATGTATTAAAAATATTTGTGCCATTTAAAAAAATTATGTCTTTAAAAGGTTCATGTAATTTAAAAAACATGAATATTTAAAATTCCTTTTTCTGTTTATAAATGATTTTTTTCTTAAAATGGGGAAACATGAAAAAAGTTGGGAAAGTAAAAAAATGAAAATGAAAAAACATAAAAAATGGAATACTATAAAGTAAACAGAAAAAAAAACCAAAAGAAAAAATTGCTAAATCAATACCAAGTGCGCATGGTGAGAGAAAAATAAAATTAGACCCAGTGGCATAGCCAGGCTATTGGGCCAGGTTGGCCCAGCACTAGAACATTCTATTTGAATTTTTTTACTTATTTATAAAGAATCACCTTTTTGCTATAATATGAAGGCTATAGGGAAACCTCAGTGCCGTCCATGAACCACCCTATCCTTCCCTAGCTACACTATCGGTGAGATCCCCCGAATTGAGTCGACCCATGACTCTAGTGTCTATTGTGTTTCGTCGATAGTTGGGTGCAATAAGCGTCGAATAGGATTTTTCCCATTAAGATGGCGTGGTTACGAGAATTAACAACCACATGTGCATGTAATTGTTTTTGGCCCAATCTACAGTCAAGCATGGTCTCGGCCCATAAGAAATCACTCACCTACCTGCCCGACACAGTTTTCCACACACATATGGACGTCCCCGATCTATCATGGACGTTCAATCTGCATCCAATGGTGGATATAAATTATATGTGTTTGCAACCGCAAGCTTGAACATATTTGCCATTCTTGAAGTGCTTTTAATAGGAGGAATACGAGTGAGATGTGTTTGAAGTGTATTGAGAAAAACGTGAGGGGCTTGAAAGGGAAATTTTGGATGCGGTTTAGGCTATTTTACAAGATTTCTAGAAAACAAATCTTGATGGAATCAATGGCCTTAGATAATTCTTGCACATCCACTATGGACTTGAGTTTTCACGGCACAAAGCTTGTTTTAGATCATCATGGCACCGCCTTAGGCCTGTAACACACCCCGTGAGGAAACCGCAGACTCCAAGCATATGTGCAAAATTGGAAAATAACATCAAGTCAGTGCCAATTTCCACTGCAGTTACCTTTACAATCTTACTGAGAAAATATCTTGGTAGTGTAGATTGCAATTTGTATTACCTCCGCCCCCCAAAACAATTTAGATTTATCTAGATACGGGTGTATCCAACACTAAAACGTGTCAAGATACATCCGTATATAGACAAATTTAAGACAAGCTTTTTGGAACAGAGGAAGTACATCCAAAGACATATACACCGGTTATCACATGGGTACAGAATATAGAAAGGTCACCATTGAGTTTTCTGACTCATGGTCCTTGAAAAAGTAGAGAAAGTGGAGAGAGAAATGGGCGGATTTTTGCAACCAAATTATATATACGGTGATTTTTTACTGTTCTATAGATGTCTATAATTTCTTCCAGAAGGTAGTTACGGTTAAAATTAGACTAAGAATGGCGGCGTTGGGCTAGAAAAGTGCGGATACAAAGCAAGGGGGAAAAACAGAGTTGAACAAAAGTGGGCCGGGATTGTGAGTCCTACGTGGCGGAGGTCCAGACTTCCACAAACCTCCTCCAGTTTATGGCCGGTTTGCGAGAATACCGACTCATGGACCCATCCACCAAAGTATGCGGCATCGCGTCGGATGGCAAAAAAATGTCCGGACGCTGTCAGTCTAGACGTTTGTGGGCATTTTATGAGATGCCCTTTGTTTAGCACATGCCATCGAGCAGAACATATTCGCCAGCTGTCTGTCACACCTGCAAGGAAAGCAAGTCTGCAGCCAGAGAAAATGAGCTTGAAAGGGTTCCCAAAAGAAAAGAAAGAGCTTGAAAGGCCATGTGGAACTCAACTTTGCATGTACATGTCGATCAAAGTACGTGTGAATTCCGTTTCAAAAAAAAAAGTACGTGTGAATGGTTGCGTTAGTTTTTTCAAAAAGAGAGCAACACTTTCGAACATGACAGCAAATGAAATTGTTCCGTGCACGCCGAACAGCATTTTCTTGGCCATGCATGTGCATGTGTCACACAGCTCACGGCAAACCACCTTTGCTTGAGGCCGGTTACTCAGCACAGCATTGATCGAGCCACAGGATATATTTATCATAACCTGATTATATATAAAGGCAACTACCAGCTACCCACTTATACCATCGATCGGTGTACACTACCACATACAGCAATTGCACCACCCTTCCCCGCATTTCCCCATGGCCACTTCTTTTTCTTGCTTCCTTGCCATCTCAATTCTACTAGTGTTCTTCTCACTCCCCCCGCTTACTTGTGCAAGGCTCCTGTATGCGGACAAGAACTCCCTCAATGACAGCAAGTCTTTCTCCATCGGAGGTGGGAGAGGCAAGGGTGGCGGCCGAGGTTTTGGTGTGAGTATCAGCCATGGCGGGCACGGCACCTCCATCGCTATAGGTGGCGGACTTGGAGGTGGAGCTGCTACTAACCATGGTGGTGGCCCAAGCGTAGGTGGTGGAGCAGGTGCGGGCATTGGCATCAATATAGGGCACGGTGGCGTGGATGTAGGGATAGGTGGGGGTGGAGGTGGAGCGGCTAGCACCGGCGGGGCGCATGCAGGTGGTAGTGGTGGAGGTGGCATTGGAGTTCACATAGGCCATGGTGGCGTGGATGTAGGGATAGGTGGAGGTGGAGGTGGGGCAGCTAGCACCGGCGGTGTGCATGCAGGTGGTGGCGGGCGAGGTGGCATCGGATTTCACATAGGCCATCATGGGGCTACTGTAAGCGCCGGGGGTGGGGGCGGCGGCGGTGCTGGTGTACGTGGAAGTGGGGGAGGCGAAGGCGGTGGTAGCGGTGTTGGTCGTGCCGGCAATGTTGTGGGTGGTGGGGGAGGGTATGGTAGTGCAAACGGCGGTAACAGAAGCGGAGGAGGTATCGGAGTTGGATCAGCTGGTGGAAGTGTAGGTGGTGGCTCTGGAAATGGTGGTGTAGTACATGGTTGATTGGTTTGTTAATTTGAGAAGTACATATGCATACAACATATTTTAGTTTGCTAATGAAATACTCCCTTTGTAACTTTTTATAAGACATTTAATATAATATGGGTATGTATAGGAAACGATAAATATGCTAGTATTTTTGTGTTTATTGTATGTCTAATACTATTGGTGTCACCTTCTAAATGAGCGGGAGTGCCTAGACTATGATGGTATTGTACTATGTGGTATCTTTCACCAACGGAACATGTAGCAGGTCCACACTAATCAGATGGTGTCTTTTGTAAAGTTACATGAGTTTTATATATTACCGAAGATATGTCTTTTCAAGAGTGCGCCAGTGATGTATCATATTTTTATAGAAGATCGAAAGATTTCGAGAACGTAGCATAACTTTATGAGAAAGATTTCTCTAAACTTTATGGACATGTCTGGCTCGTGCTTCAGCAGCGTCACTTGATTAAATCATTAACGGATATCTTTAAATCATTAACTTGATTGCATTATTAATGGATACCAAAATCATGTTTGCTTCGGTGGCTCTATAATCCATAACATGGTGTCAAGTCCCAGCAGCATAAAAAATTGTTTCCACTTAAAATCCTCCGTATTAGAAAACGCTACGATATCATCTGGCACCTATCATTTCATTTAGCAGCATACCTTTACTAGATCCTACCTATATGCATCATCTTCATTTGTTGATTTGCTTACCAATACAAGACTAGCTTACCAATATCAACACCAGCACGGGCTAGCTTGCCAATATCATCAGCCTAAAAGGGGTACTAGAGATGCCCTTTCTGTCACCCTGGTGCAGCCATCAGGACTTGAGGCTGTCACGCACTGATGCTTCACAGGGAATCTGGTGCAGTGATATCTTATCAGTGAAGCAGCTGTAGAAGCAATGGAAAATGAGATGTCTGTGAACTTTAATACTACGGAGACAGAGGGAGTATTTTATGTCAACA